GCAGGCCTAGACTTCACTATTCGTATTTTTGTCAGCCTTTTGGTAACAACCATTTAACCAGTCTCTAAGAAATTCCAAACTCTCCCTTATCTTCCTGTCTTCTCAGCCCTCCATATTCTTCCAGTGTCTGCCCATTACCCAATTCCAAAGTGACTTCCATGTTTTCAGGTATCTTTGTAGCAATGCCCCACTTCTCAGTACCAATTTTCTATTAGGTCTTTCTTGCATTGCTTTAAAGAAATACCCGAGATGGGTAATTTATAAAGAAAAGAGGTTTATTTCCTTCATATTCTGCAGGCTTTACTTGAAGCACAGTGCTGGCATCTGCTTGTGGGGGAGCTTTCAATCATGGTGGAATGCAAAGGGAGAGCAGGAACATCACCCGGTGAAAGCATGTGATGAGCAAAAGAGAGAGAGAGAGAGAGCAGTTGGTAGGGGGGATGCCACCCACTTGTAATTGACCAGATCTCATGTGAACTCAGAGGGAGAGCTCACTTATCACAAAGGGAATGGCCCAAGCCATTCATGAGGGATCCACCCCCATGATTCAAACACCTCCAAGCCCCACCTCCAACACTTGGGATTACATCTCTACATGAGATGTGGACAGAGATAAATATCCAAACTATACCACTTGGTTTTCGGGTTACTCTAGAGCGCTAGCATCTACCCTGGCTTAAATCCTGAAAAGCATCCAATGTATGCTAGTTTTTGACCAACATAACAAAACAGGTCAAAGATTTGCTTAGTCTATTGTGCCATTTCTGCCTTAACTACTTGGGAGCTATTGGGAATTTTCTATTTTTAAAATCAGGTTTTATCAAGATTGTTTGGTGCTTTTTGACCAAAATCTCTAAACAACTCCAAAAGCCATATACAGGCAATGGCTAGAAAAAGGCAGACAAAAATATTAGAAACTGAGCGTAAGTAACTCAAATCTGTAATGCTGTCCTACTAGAATCAGTAATTCAACACCTAGGAAACATCCACAGAAGACATTTTATCAATCAAAACAAAGACACTCAGGCAAGCAGAGTGATCTGTGTCACTCATAGATACACTAGTTTTTGAAATTAGCCTTCAGTGATAATCATTCAGTGCAAGATTTAGTCTCCATGAACTGAAACACAGCACAACTTGAAGCTTTACTGGTCCCTTGGGAGTGAGTGCAGTTCTGTAACGTGTCTGTGATTAAGTAGCAGTTTCATCCTGATTTTTCAAGCTCAGAGCTCTCCACCCTTTCCCATGCTTGCAGAGAAGATGTTGCACAACTGGCCCAGAGGATTTTTTCCTCTCATTTCTGTAGTCTTAGGTAAGGAAGGAAGGATGTGACTTAACATGATTCTCCTTCGATCTGAACATGCCAGTGCACCTTCTTTTCCATCCCACTCCGTATATTCTCTGCGACTGTTTGTTGTTGTTGTTTGTTTTTTGAGACAGGGTCTTACTCTGTTGCCCAGGCTGAAGTGTAGTGGCATAATCATAGCTCACTGAAGCCCGAACCTCCAGGTCTCAAGCAGTACTCTCACCTGAGTCTCCTGAGTAGCTGGGACTGCAGGTGGGTACCACCACGCCCATCTAATTTCTTAAATTTTTCATAGAAACAGGATCTCACTGTGTTGCTCAAGCTAATCTCAAACTCTTGGGCTCAAGCCTCCCGAAGTGCAGGGATTATAGGAGTGAGCCACTGTGTCTAGCCTCAGTGAACTGTCTGAAGTCTCTCTTTAACAACTCACTTACAGTTCCTGTTCATTCCTAAGTAGTCACTTAGGCCAAGGCTTTAATTTGCTGAGGACTTACTGCAGAGCCAGATAAATGAAGTCCCTTGCATACGGTCCTATGAATATTTATTGGCGAAGCTTGGCCTTTGTTCCCTTGACTTCCCGATCTCATTTCATCTTGTGGATCTGGCCACCTTGCTAGACCTGAGTCATAAAAGGAATGGGGCACTAAGACCAGCTGTACTATATGAAGTGGTGACATTTTCCTCATCTAAAGTTGGGTTATCTTTCTAGAATCTTAGAATTGGAACCCAACTCAGAAATCACCTGTTTGATCCTCCCACGAAGGCAGGTGTCTCCTTTACAATATTCTTGAGACAATCATCTGGGTTCTGCCTCCTTATTTTCTATTATTGGGAGGCAGCTTCAGGAAATATAACATTTCACTAGAGATTTTGTGTTCTTACATTTAGCTAAAACTTACCTTCTCTTCACTTCTATCCTTACATCCCAACACTGACTGCCCCATGGAGTATCACCAAATGCAAAGACAGACTATGCTTTCCACCAGGGGACATGCCTTTGGAAGTGTTAAAATAGTTATCCAGCATTTCCCCACGATTTTCTTTTTTTCCTCAGTGCTAAATATCTGATTTTTCTAAGCTGTGCCTTATGGGGTACAGTTTCTGGATCCCTTATAATGCTGAACTTTGGATGTATTCCTTTTGGCAAATGACTGTATCCTATTTATCCACTAATTCAACAGATATTTAATAAGCACCTACTAAGTTGAGGGAGATTTAAAAAATACAAGCATGTAAATAAGAAAATATACAATGTAGTATGTAACAGAACAGGCTGTGGAGAAAAATTAAGCAGAGGAAGGGGAGATGGAGAATTTGTGTATCGTTAGGGGCTTGGAGGCTTGCTGTTCTATTAATACTCACAGTGATCGGGAAAGGCCTCACTGACGTAGTCAGCTTTGAGCAAACATGTAGAGGAAATGAGGGAGGAAGACTTGCAACTGTTTGAGGAGGAGGATTTTTTGGGCATAGAGAATAGCTTCTGAGGCAGAAATAACTCTGATGTGTTTGAAAAACAGCAAGATGGCCCTTGAGGCTCCAGTCGAAGGGATGAGTGGGAGGGTGGGAGGAGGTGAGGTCAGGGAAGTTGTTTGGGGCTGAATGGTGTCTCTCCGAAATTCATATGTTGAAGCCCTAAGCCCCAGAACCTCAGCCCATGAAATAATGTCTTTAAAGACCTAAAATGAGGTCATTAGGGTGGGCTGTAATCCAATATGACTGGTTTCCTTACAAGACGAGGAAATTAGGACACAGATGGGCACAGAGGGAAGACCAGGTGACAACACAGGGAGAAGAGAGCCATCTACAAGCCAAGGAGAGAAGCCCCAAAAGGAGCCAACCCTGCTGACACCTTAATCTCAGGCCTCTAGCCTCCATAATTGTGAGAAATAAATTTCTGTTGTTTAAATCACCCAGTCTGTGGTACTTTATTAGGGCTGCCCTAGAAAGCTAACACAGTAAGGGCCAGATAGTCTAAGACCTTGAAAACCATTTTAAATTCTTTGAGCAGAAGGGGAGCCAGTGAGGGTTTCTGAGCAGATGAAGGTGATGATTGGGCTCATATTTTAAAAGCATTCCTCTCGCTTCTGTCCTGAAAGCAGTCTGTGGGGAGGCAAAGGCGGAAGGAAGAAAGCCAGGAGGAGGCTATTGCAGAATTGTACATGAGGGCGGGAGGTGGTGAGGAGAGGGAAGTTTGGCAATATATATTCCCAAGTTAGAGCCAAGAGGATTTTCTGATGAACTGAAATTGTGATGTGAGAGAAGGAAAAGAGTCAAAGATGACACGAGCTTTTGGCCACAGCAACTGGGAGAATGGAGTTAACATTCATCGAGATGGGAAGGACGGTAGGAGCAGTCGGCTTTTTTTTCTTCTTCAACTTTTCTTGTAACTTAAGGGGTACATGTGCACGATTGCAGGTTTGTTACACAGGTAAACACGTGCCATGGCGGTTTGCTGCACAGGTCATCCCATCGCATGGGTATTAAGCCCTGTGTCCATTAGCTATTCTTCCTGACGGAGCAGTGTGTTTTAGAGGGGAGGACCAAGAGTTCAGTATGGACACATGAAGATTAAGATGCCTACTCATCTTTGAGTTTGAAATGCCAGCTAGGCTGTTGGATGTATGAATTTAGAATTCAGAGGAGTGGTCAGGGTAAAGATACAGATGGTACTGAGTGAGATCACTTAGGGTGAAATGAGGACAAAAAAAAAGATCTGGAGGTTGGGCATGGTGGTTCATGCCTGTAATCCCAGGACTTTGGGAAGCCAAGGCGGGTGGATCACTTGAGGCCAGGAGCTCAAGACCAGCCTGCCCAACATGGCAAAACCCTATCTCTCCCAAAAAATACAAAAATTAGCCAGGCATGGTGGCGGGTGCTGTAATCCCAGCTACTCTGGAGGGTGAGGCATGAGAATCACTTGAATCTGGGAGGCGGAGGTTGCAGTGAGCTGAGATGGTGCTACTGCACTGCAGTCTGAGCCACAGAGTGAGACCCAGTCCCTGACGAACCCCCCCGAAAAAAGAAAGGATTTGTGATTAAGCCCGAGTGTACTTGGAAATGTTGAGGTTGTTAAGATGAGCAGGAACCAGCGAAGCAAGCAGAGGCGGGGCAGCAAGTCAAGTGAGAGTAGGAAGAGAAGGAGGGTAGTTTCCAAGAAGCCAAACCGAGAATGTGTTTCATGAGGACAGAATGATTACTGGTTAAATGCTGCAGATACGGTGTGTCAAATACGATAAGGACTGCATTGTATTTAGTGCTAGAGAGGTCACTGGTGATGCTGATAAGAGCCAGTTCAGAATGTTGGGGACAGAAGTAAGATTTGAGTGAGTTCAACAGAGAGTAAGGGAAAGAAATTTGAGTCAGCAATTATTAAAACATTCTTTGGAGGACTTTTGCTATGAAGGGAGCAAAAAGCTGAAGGTAGCTCAAGGGAAATACTAAAAGAGGGTAATTTTATTATTATTGTTTGAGACAGGAGCTCACTCTGTCGTCCATGCTGGAGTGCAGTGGTGCAATCACGGCAGCTTCAGCCTCCTCCACTCAAGCGATCCTTCCACTGCAGCCTTCTGAGTAGCTGCAAGTTAGGGCACATGCATTACACTCAGCTAATTTTTTTATGAGCTTGGCCCACAAGTTTGATACCAGTCTGGGCAACGTGGTGAAACCCCATCTGTTCAAAAAAGTACAAAAACTAGTGCTTGCTTCGGCACCCATACTAAAACTGGAATGATACAGAGAAGTCCAGCATGGCCCCTGTGCAAGGATGACACACACAGTCATAAAACATTTCATGTGTTTGTAGAAGTACGTAGGATAAAAACTACAAAATTTAACCACGTATGGTGGCTTGCACCTGTGCTCCCAGCTACTTGGGAGACTGAGGTGGGAGAATCACCTGAGCCCATAATCACCTGAGCCGTGATCGCACCACTGTACTCCAGCTTGGGAGTAGAGGATCACCTACATTGGTCTTGAACTCCTGCATTCAAGTGATCCTCCTGCCTCGACCACCCAAAGTGCTTAGATTACAAGTGTGAGCTGCCGTACCTGGCAAAGAGACTTATTTTTTTAATTGAATATGTTACAAAATATTTGTATGCAGAGGAGAATGATTCTGTCACAAAGGAAAATGAACAAATTGGGAGAGGGAACAATTGTTGGAACAGTGTCCTAGAGTGTAGGAGAGGGTGACACACAGAACACAAGCGCAGGAGTTGGTCCTAGATGTGACTAACATCTCTAGCTACGTTGCCTTGTACACAGCCACATGTAACTGTTTAAATATAAATTAATTAAAAATGAAGACAATTAAAAATTTTTCTAGCTGGGATAGGTGGCTCATGCTTGTAATCCTAGGATTTTGGGAGACTGAGGTGGGTGGATCACCTGAGGTTGGGAGTTCAAGACCAGCCAACATGGTGAAAACCCATCTCTATTAAAAATACAAAAATTAGCTGGGTGTGGGCGCATGTTCCTGTAATCCCAGCTACTATGGAGGCTGAGGTAGGAGAATCGCTTGAACCTGGTAGGTGGATGTTGCAGTGAGCCAAGATTGCGCCACTGCACTCCAGTCTGAGAGACAGGGTGAGACTCCATCTCAAAAAAAAAAAAAAAAAAAATTAGTTGTGCTAGCCATATTTCAAGTGTTCAATAGCCACATAGGACTAGTGACTACAGTACTAGAAAGCGTCAACAAATAATGTTTTGGTTATTACAGAAAGATCTGCTGTGCAGGCCTGAGCCACAGAAGGAAGGAAGGCAGACATCTGTATGAGAATCTATGCAGAGAGGTGAGTATTTGTGGTGGGAGGAGCTTGTGGAAGATCATTCCTGATTTCTTCTGCTTCTCACATAAGGCTGTGAGTGAGGATGGAGAAGGACGTGGAGCTCTGAGGAAAAGATGGAGAGTATATCTCTAGGGGATAGAGTGAGGGGACAAGGGGAAATGGCAGGGTACAAGACAACTTTTAAGATCCGCTTTAGGCCGGCACAGTGGCTCACACCTGTCATACCTTTTTTAAAAAATTTGAGACAGGGTCTTGTGCTATCACCCAGGCTGGAGTGTAGTGGCTCAATCTCGGCTCACTGCAGGCTCAACCTCCTTGACACAAGCGATCCTCCCACCTCGGCTTCCCAAGTAGCTGGGACCACAGGTACATGCTACTACACCTAGCTAATTTTTGTATATTTTGTATAGACAGGGTTTCACCATGTTGCCCAGACTGGTCTCATTAAGCAATCTGCCTGCCTCAGCCCCCACAAAATGCTGGACATAAGCCACTGCACCTGGCCACACCTATAATCCCAACACTTTGGGAGACTGAGGTGGGAGAATCACTCGAAGCCAGGAGTTCAAGATCATCCTGGACAACATAGTGAGACCCCATCTCAACAAAAAAGAATTTTAAACATTAGTCAGGTGTGTGGTTGTATTAGTCTGTTTTCATGCTGCTGATAAAAGATATACCCAATAATGGGCAATTCACAAAAGAAAGAGGTTTAATCAATTTCTGGTTGCACGTGGCTGGGGAGGCCTCACAATCCTGATGGAAAGCAAGGAGGAGCAAGTCACACCGTATGTGGATGGCAGCAGGCAAAGACAGAGCTTGTGCAGACAAACTCCCGGGATTTTTTTAAAGCCATCAGATCTCATAGTACTCATTATCATGACAATAGCACAGGAAAGATCGCCCCCATAATTCAGTCATTTCCCACTGGGTCCCTCCCACAACATGCAGAAATTATGGAGCTGCAAGATGAGATTTGGGTGGGGACACAGAGCCAAGTCATATCCGAGGTGCTCACCTTTAGTGCTACCTACTTGGGGGGCTGAGGCCAGAGGAGCCCTGGAACCCAGGAATTTGAGGTTGCAGTGAGCTATGGTGGGCCACGGCACTCCAGAGTCAGCCTCTGTCTCTAAAAATAATTTTAAAATACCCCCTTTAGCTTAGTGATCTCTAATTTAGGGAGACCAATCAGCATGCTGTGTAGTTTTTTCCAACCTATGTTCAGTGGCATGAATGCGCTATTGGAGTAGATGGAAAGCCGGGGCTAGTCCAATGAGTGGTTCTCTATCCTGGCTGCATGTTACAATCACCTGAGTAAGTTACTGAAAAAAAATCAGAAGCCTCATCCCTCTAGACAAAGGATCTGATGAAACATTCTGAAAATGGGTCCTGAGCAATGAACAATCTATTTAAAGCTCCCATGGTGATTCTAACACAGATATAGTTTGTTTTTTTTTTTTTTCTTTTGAAACTGGATCTCACTCTGTTGCTCAGACTGGAGTACAGTGGCACAATCTTGGCTCACTCTAACTTCCACCTCCCAGGCTCAAGCGAGCCTCCTGCCTCAGTCTCCCGAGTAGCTGGGATTATAGGCACATGCCACTACCACCTGGTTAATTTTTTTTTTAAATTTTATTTTAGTAGAGATGAGGTTTCACCATGTTGGCCAAGCTGGTCGTGAACTCTTGACCTCAAATGATCCACCTGCCTTGGTCTCCCAAAGTGCTGGGATTACAGGCCAGATATGTGTTTAAAAACCACTGCATTAAAGTAAGAATGTGGAGGAAACGTTCAGACAAGAGATGAAGGATGGAGAACTGTACCACTGATGGACCACAGGTTCCACAGGTGCAAAGAAAGGTACTCTTTCTTTGATTTGTGCAGGGCTGGGGGACAGGATCAGATTGAGAAGTGTTCAAGGATGACGGGTGATGAGAGATGGGCTGGAAATCTAGGGCTTCTTGGGTGACAAATACAAGTTGGGTAAAGGGCACACGGAGATTTGCCATGCTGGTCTAAATCAGCAGTCAGCAGAAATGTAGTACAACCCATACAGATAATTTTAAATTTTTTTATTGACCTTATTAGAAAAGAACCAAGTAAACTTAATAGTATATTTTGTTATCCAATATATGCAAAATATTATTTTTTTTCATTTCTTAAAAAAAATAACAATAGAGACAGGGTCTTACTGTGTTGACTAGGCTGGTCTCAAACTCCCGGCCTCAAACAGTCCTCCCACCTCAGCCTTCCAAAGTATTGGGACTACAGGAATGAACCACCATACCCAGCCCCAAATATCCTTTCAACAAGTAATCAGTATGAACATCACTGAGATAATTGACATCCTTATACTTAGTCCTCCAAGTTTAGTGTGCATTTTACACTTCAAGAACATCCCAGTTCAGAGCAGACACATTTCAAGTTCTCAATAACCATATGTGTGGTGGACAGTGTAGGTCTAGGTGGGGGTGATGAGGTTGCAAACGTCGGATGTTTTCTACAGAACATTCCTTTCAGAATACAAGCATACTGTAATATATTCAATCATAAGCAGCCGTATATGATGATACAGAATTATGTTCTTATTTAACCCAATATAGCTTTTCCAGAAAAGTGTCATGAGAGTCTTAGTCATATGCTCTGCTTAAGTCCAAAACTGCCATGTCAGCATCGAACAGAGATTGGTCTGGCATGAATTTCCTGGTGAATCTGTGTGAACATCAGATTCCAGAGGTGTCTGTTTCTTTTTTCCGTATATTCTCATGCCAGTCTGTTAACAATCCAGTCTGCGTGCTTGCTTGCATTTGTGTGGAGGTGATCTTTTCTTATTTCCTGACATTTGAAGTTACTGACTAGGGGAGAAAAGGACGATGGGAAAGCAAACAACCACTTGCCATGTAAGTGGTAGCAAAGCTGGATTTGATTTATCGGACCTGATGTTAGGATTCCAGGTTATTATAAGCAAGAAAGGGCTTGAATTTCTTGTGGAGGATCATGTGACAAGGGATTGACCAATCTTCTATGGAAATGACTTGAAACTAAGTTGCCAAAGACGGAGTGGTGGGAGGACAATGTCTAGATAAAAGCAAAGATGAAGGAAAGGGTGTTATGGAGAAAGAAGCAACAGACAAGAGTGCCCTCAGACAGCTCTCAGAAAAAAATCAGGAAGTTGACTGGGGAGTAAAAACTTTGTGTGGGTGCCTTCTCTGTCTACTTACAGATGCTCAGAGTGGGAGAGAAACAATCTGATCTTTTAACACAGGAAAATAGACATGGCTTCATAGATGGCACCAAGTGTTGGTAGAATAAAACTGATAAACTAGAGTTAAGGAATGAGAGTGTAGTTCTTTTTCAAACGAAACTGACCTGGGAGTATGCTCTTTTGCTTGCTCAGCTGGAAAAACATTTAAAAGCTCCCACTTCAAACAGACAGCTTGAGTAGCCCCAGACCCAGGCGATCTCTTTTTCATTGTCCAGGCCATTAGGGCAGGATTTTAAAACAGGATTCTCACCTTACTGCGCTAAATTGGAACACTGAATCAGGTTATTTGTCTTTATCAGACATTCCACACTCTATTCTGTCTCTTATTCTGGCTTTATGCATTTTTGTGTTAGACTTTGAGTACATAATTTGTCAATAGGGCACAGATTTTGTGAGTCACACACATCCACGTAAAACCTGGGTCCATCATTTTCCACATGGTGATGTCATGCTGTTTAGCTAAGCTTAGTCTCTATCCTCCTCTATGAAATGAGGATAATGCAACGTACTACCTGGGGCTATTATGAGGCTTAGGGATGACATCTGTGAAGGGCTTGGCACTGATGGGCGTTCAATAAATGCTAGTTGGGTGTTGAGACTGTGGACTCAGTTTGGACAAGGATTTTTCATCTAGTTTAGCTGGTTATTATATACAACATGAAAGAAGAGATCACAATGTGACAGTTGGTTAAAACAGTCTGGGTCTCAAGTGAATTCTGTTTGAGGGCCTTAGAAATAGGCAAAGG